CAACCAACCAACCAACCAACCAACCAACCAACCAACCAACCAGCCAACCAACCAACCCTCTGCTCCCAAATTCAGAAGAAATGCCTCAGATTGGTGCTTTTGCAGCCTCTGAATTATGCCATTATTTTCCTAGACTGAGAAAACAAGCCACTGGTTTGCTATCTAAAGCACATAAAAACACGCCAAACTTAGCATTCCTGTACATATAGTGTGTCTTTCTTGGGTACACTTGTGGAGTTGAAACCACTGAAGAAGTTTCCTGTTGACTTCACCATTCACTGTGTAAATGTCTCCTGAAAGTTTTTCTTGTGTACTTTTTTTTAAAAGCCAAAATCCAAGTTTAAAAGAGTTTAACTGTAGTGAAGCTTTAGCAGGAACATCTCAAAAACCAGCTCAATTATCAACTGCCCATGTTTGTCTTGGGTCATGGCATAAGCAAGGTTAATGCAACTTAGCCTGCAAGGAAGAGGCTCCAGTGACTCAGGTTATTCATGATTGCTTACTGGGCTGTGATAACTTGATTAGGAATCCAAGCCCAAGAAATTCACCTTTCCATAGATCTCACTTTCAAAAAAAATTACTTGTAAAGAGAATTAAGTATGGAGTCAAACCTGAATATTTTAACTGCACAAATGTTCACCTTAACCAACCTACTTCAGCTTGGGCCTGTGTGTTTCAGGGTCTTAGATTTTATCTGAACTCTGTTTACTAGAGTTAGACTGAAAGGAAAAGTCCACAGGCATTTCCTAAGAATGCTGTACTTGGATTTGCTCTTCCTGCTGTGTGAAGTGATGTGAGCTCCAGTAGTTTATATGGTGAAGTCTTTAAGGAAAAACACATAAAAATAGTCAAATGAAAGAAAATAGTAAAATTTCAAAGAGTTGATTTTGGAGTGGGTATTTTTTCGCTGTTTTTTTACTTTTTAAGATTTTACTCTGAAGATGAAAATTATCCCATATGGATTATTACTCACATCTTCCCCCACTAGAAAGCAGATCCTTGTGGAGCAAAAATTGGCTTCAAAACCTGAAGTATGAAATTCAACTTTTTATACATCTTTCAGATTTCAGTTTTTGCATATCCTTGTAGCAGAAATAGCCACTTGACTGAATTTCTCATCAAAAAGTAGAGCTGTAGCAACTCAAATTCATCCATTGCTAATGACAACTTTCTGCAAAAAGCCTCACCAGTTTCAACAATTCTTATAAGCAGTTATTACTACCACTAGCCAGTTTTAATAATTTTCCTCACACCGTTGTCTGCATTTTTGTTTCTGAAGCCCAGTATAAACATATGAAAGAATGAAGTGTGGAATCTGATTTGAGAATCAAAATATAAATAATACTTCAAAATAAAATATGCTACAAAAAATGCTTCAGGGACCATTTTCTTCCCATAATTCTCAACCACCCAACTGCGGAGTTCACAATGACTTGGCTCATCCAGATATAGGACTGAACAGTCTTGTGCTGGGACATACAAAACCCCAGGGAATTGAAACATGTGCACATGGGGAGGTTCAGATTTACCCAGAACAAAATCCACATACTTTCAATTTTATTCCAAAGGTTTATTTTGCAATCACTGTGCATGGACATAGTTGATCACACAGACTTGGGTACCCGTACAAACACCACCTCACAGTACCTCACCCCAATGTCAGACAGGAAAAGGGAATGTGGCACCACACAACACTTGCTGACAAACACACAGGCTATCGACAATTAGATACATTCAACAAGAAAAAATAAACTGTAAGTTGCTGATATTTTCCATGTGGTCCTCTCATTGCTGGAAAAATTATAGCAGCGTAACAATGGAAAAAAAACTGTATGGAACAACTTCAAGAACAACACACTCATTAGGGTCAGAGATGAGAAAGTTAATGAAGTACTGGCACATCTGAAACTTCCACAGCCCAAGGCAGAGGACACTTCCCTGGCTAGTGAACAGAGCACTAGCTTGGCCTGGAATTGCTTTGACCATTGGACGGCAAGAAAAATCAGGTGAGATGTGGAACCCCCGTCCCACACCGTGCCCAGTCTGTAGCAGCTCTTTGCAGCCACACAGAAAGCGTGTGCCCATCTCAGGCAGGACAGGAGAGGGCAAATGGGATTGCAGAAATGAAAACATGACCCCTTGCTGCTAATGCTGTACAGGGCCTACGAGCTGGGATAGGAAATTCTATCAGACATCTCCACCTGTGCATTCAGAGCTGGGCTCCAAATGCAACTGTAGGCAAATGTATGATGATTTTATCTTGTTGCAGAAGTCCTGATTTCTGATACAACTGCTGTATCAGGTCAGCATGATATTTAATTGAAGTCATCCAGTGGTAACATTTTCAACAGTGTCTATAATGTATGCTGATGAACAGCACTAAGTGCTAAATTCTGCTCATTCTAATAATATTGGTTTCCAATTTTCCACCATGGCTCAAAGCACATCTCATCATACCATGTTAGTAGCCCTAACTACAAAGTAAAGTAATTCCCAGTCTGAAGGAGAAGGTCTGAATTTGCCAGTCTTGCCCTAAAGGCAAAAAAGGAAGAAATTTTTCATAACATTTTCTGGAGGGCTGGCATTCACACTCAGTGTTTACATAACCACTCACCTTGCAAGCCTCATGTAACCCTTGGAATAGGGAACTAAAGGCACTGAAAAGTAATACTTTCATTTGCTGTATATATAATTTTACAAGTGGTTATTACAATAATATTTTTCTTCAGTTTTCTCCACAGTATTTGATTAGCTTCCATTTATGACTGTCTGTTGGAATAATCCCACTTTGCTCTCTTTCTTAATAGCAGCACCAAACCCATAAATTTTTTATTTTTCATTCTCAATTCTCTTTCTCACATATATTTAATTTTCTTACTGCTGTACTTCTATCCCAGTGGAAAAAAACTCCATAAATTCTGGCATAAAAGCACCCATCAATTTTTTGTAAATTACCTAGTAATGAAATTGCCCTATTAGGTCAGCTTACAATGTCTGTGGTAAATATGCCATATACAAATAAATCACAGTATAAAACTATATGCATAAATTAGTAGTAACAGCTGAACATTAGGATCTCTGATAATAATTTACAGTGTAATTTACAGTGTAGAACAAAACAAAAATGAGCTTATTACTTGGAGAAATACAAACAACCCCCCTTCCCCCTGCAGATACCAGAAAATAATTATCCACTGTGTGTGTATATACATAAATATAAATCACAGAATCATAGAATAGCCTGGGTTGGAAGGCACCTTAAAGATCATCTTGTTCCAATCCCCCACCATGGGCAAGGACACTTTCCACTAGACCAGATTGCTCAAAGCCCCATCCAATCTGGACTTGAGCAATTCCAGGGATGGAGCAGCTACAGTTTCTTTGGGCAACCTGCTCCAGTACCTCATCACCCTCACAGAAAAGAATTTCTTCCTAATATCCAATCTCTATCTACCCTCTTTCACCTTAAAGGCACTAATATTAAGCCACTGAATATTAATATGCATCTATACTTGGAATGTATATACATATATATTCATGTATGCATACATATATGAATATATATGCAAATTTTCTTGCAAAAATGCTCCAAATTCATGAATTTCTAGATTAGTAAATATAACTTGTGGAAGCAGTTGACTCTACATGCTGCACTTTCTTCTTGTGTCTTACTCCTAACTGAGAGCAGCTCAAAGACTTACTGACTTTCCATATAAAACAGCTATTTAATTTAAAAATTCTTTTTACATCAACATCCAGGTACCTAGAGGGATCAAGAAAAACTGTTATCAAAATTACAAACTGCAAAGATGATGTTCATTAAGAAAAAACATCCCATTAATTGGTGACTGAACCACTGAGAGCCTGCTGAGTCTTTCTCTCATAAAATCAAGCAGTTTTACAAAACTTTAGATAGCTTGGTAATAAGACTAGGTAATAAGAGCTAGGCCTGGTGCTTCAGAATCTAATGCCCAAATAAAAATTAGTGTTTAAGAAATAGGGGTCTAAATTCCTATGAAGACATCTGAGTATTAAGAACTAAATTGTCAGGTCTCAGGGAAATTTGGGTCCCTAAGACTTGTTTTAAAAGGAATTTGAAAAGAAAAGCAATAAACAAACAAATGAAAAAAATATTAAAAAACCCTAATCCTTGGAACACTTCATGTTTGAATTTTTGTTTCAATACTATGCCCTGCACATACCATCAGAGTTCTCTCACTTCCCCATGAGGTTTAGTTTTCCTTTCATATTAAACCTTTTAAGTTTAAAAATTAAAATTATGTAAATATATATATTCAGAGAAATGCAGTGCCAGCAAACCCAGAAACTAGAGACAACTCTTGTTGAGCACGATTTTTACAAACTCTATTACTAGTGAATCAGAATTTGCAAGTGAGACAAGGAAACTCATCAGGACCCAGAGCTGCCCATTTGTGGGAAGGTGGGAGATGTTCAGACAATGCAGCTGAAAGTCAAAATAGCTAGCAAAGGAATGGGAGGTCAGGGAAGTGCCATGTCAGATCTCATGGGGAGCTTGAATGACATCTTGGGAAACACGGAGAAATTAATTCTGGTGCCATTCCAGGTTTGCTTCTCAGCAGTCCCCACTGGGATCTCTTCCCTTGACTCTGCCTCCTCCTCTTGCAGAGAGCATGCCCGCCTCCCTGTGAGCACACGGGGGTGCTCAGCCAGCTGCTGCTCAACACCCTGGCTCCCCGCTGCCCCTTCACATCTCCAAGTCTACATTCCCCATCCCACTCACCACTCACCTGCTTCACAGGTGCCAAGGAAACTCCATCTCATTTAATTTATCAATTGCCTCTTCTCCACACCCCTCATTGTCTCAACTGTTACCCCAGCTGCTAATGAGTTCACCCATACTCACTTAGAACATTTTCAAAGGAGAAGCATTTCATGATCTTCGTAAAATATACAAGTTGTGCACTGCTATAAATAAAAAGAGCACTCTCTCCCCCATTCCCTGAAAGAACATGCTGGGTTTACACAATCCCTTTTATGGTTTCCCCATTGTCCACTGGAGATGTGAAGTTTGATTCTTGTTCTTCATTTGGTTTCCTCTCCCCTGGGTAGTGGTTCATCTCTTGCATTTCTAAAGTTGCTTTATTCCTTTTGGCAAATGCTTGGCTGATCTCATGAAATGTCTTATTTTTTGTTTCAGGCAGGACAAAAAACAGGTAGGCTGCTCCTGCAAAGCAGACTCCAGCAAACACTAGGAAGCAGTAGGTCTGCAAACCAGCCTGTGAATAGAAAACAGAGGAGATGGCCATTACAAAGGAGAAAAAAATTCAGAAGAAAGGCAGGAATGGTTTGAAAGGAAAAATGGGACGTATGGAGCAATTTTAAACCAAGTACACTACTGGCATTCATTGCTAGCTGGAGCGCTGAGATGTTAAAAAAAATGCATGAAATTTTGGTTCTTCCAACACTGCCTGTGCCTGTCGACAGCAAAGCAGGTTCCTGGCACAGGCACACAGAGCTGCAATCTGGGCAGTGCTGGGAGACACCAGACTGAGCCGGGGGAGAGCAGGAATCCTGCACTGTGCTCAGCTGAGCCTGGCACTGCCTGGGGCTCCTGGAAATGGGGCAGATGTTTCACTGGGTGGTTCTGCACACCACATCCCAGTCCCAGGTACAGGAATGGAGGCACGCTTCAGCAGTGCTGTGCACCTCTACAAACCCATGGAAAAACTGCCATAGCCAGGGGCATCTTCATCACAGCAGTTACAAGCTTTGAATTTGCAAAATAAATGAGGAAAACCCCCAAAGAGCTCACATTTGTTATCACTCTTACAGTTAGGGGAGTTCACAGCAGGAAAAAAAGTCCTAAAATGCATTTCTTTTCATGCTAGAAAGTGTAAGAGTTAGTTAAGGGAATGCAAAGTACAGATCATATTTGAATGTTATGGATTTTAGTTCACTGTAAAACCAAAGAGAGTAGACGTAAAGAAGTTCATTTATAAATTGATTATAAAGGCTTCCACCAGCCAGGAGGAGTTGTAGTTCACTGAAACATAACTATTTCTTTCCTGGTGATTATTAGATCATTTAGAAGCTACCAGTTACCTTTCAGCAGTACAGTTGTGAAAAACATTTGATAAATACCTTATTGCCATCTGAGCTTTGCTGGACTTGGAACAGGTTTGATACTATGGCTCTACAGAAGCCACTTACAACATGTGAGGAAACCTCCCTTCCTCCTCTATTAATTTACACTCTCAAACACCTTATGTACCCATATCTTTCTAATTTCTTTTATTAACAAGGCTGAATTAAGCCAGAAGGAGTATCTCCAACTCCAAAAATAAGGTGACATTTCTGTGATGCTGTGTCTGAGGTCATGAACAGCAAACTCAAGGAGAGCCAAACTCCTCACACATACCTCAGGTGCTGCAGGCTGAGGTTACCCCAGGGAAAGCCACTCAGGACAGAAGAAACAGACCTGTCTTCCTCAACACACATATTTATGGATGCCATTAAAGGTATGTAACTGCAACAAGTAAGACAGAGCCAGTAACCTTCATTTTACACATTTTTGTAACAGCTTCTCATCATGCCTCGTTAGTCACAGCAGTCCTACACTGCAGGCTGGTTTAACTCCCTGCTTTGGGTACTCAAGGTGTATGCAATTCTTGGCACTATTTTTATGTTTCACTTGCTCATTATGCATCGTGCGTGGTGTGCAAGAAGAACATTAATTCCTGCGTGGAACAAGAAAGAAAAAATGGAACAAACCCTTTCCTGCAGCTGCTTTTTAATACCATGGCTGATTTCCAGCCTGCCTAGTCACAATGTTCTTTGTTTCTGTGGATAATTCATTACCTAGTTCAGTGCTTCCAATCCTGCCTGTAACAGGAAAAGCCAGCAAGTGCATTCTCTGATATTGTTTATGGACTCTAGAGATCACCAATACTTTTTCATTAAATCCTACAAGCATGAAGTCCTGAGCAAGCTGACAATCAGAAGCCAAACAGCATGGATAACATGGAGGTGGGGGAAATATTCTGGCATGTAACAGATAGAACTTAATAGAACAAATAGCTTATACAGAGGCAGAAGCAAAAGGATATAGTAGACAGGCGAAAAAAATTTTGCAGTGCCTCATAAATCATCCTGTCATGCTAAGAATTGAAATTTTACATCTGGATCTTCTGCATTTGTAATTGCTCTTCAGCTGAATGGCAGAATTTCTACCCAGAATCATGTTTCTCACTTTTTAAAATTTCACTGAATTAAATATTCTCCATTATGAAAGTGAATCTTTAATACCCCATATAAATAAACATGGCAATCAATTGGAATAAATTAAAATAAATGTGTCTTTTGGTGGTGCAGCCACAACTTTGTGCCCCTTTTCTAATTCCTCTTGATTTCTTTGCTGTCCATGAGCTAAATAAATTAGTGCTTATTATCTTAGATTCATATCTAAGTAAACCTCTTCTAATTGAACTAAACACTCATGAGTGCATGTTTTATTTGCAATTATTTTACCTAATGTATTTATATTTATTTGTAATAACCATACTCTTCTTAATTTCTGCAATCCTTTAGGAAGCAGCCCTCAAGGACCTCCATCTGAAGTTTTACAGAGAATAAGTTAAAAATTAAATTTTGTTATAAATCCTACAAGTGGGTTTTGTAGGGTTTATTGCATCCTGCAGGATTTGTCCAACAGGCCCATAATTCCCAGACAGGAGGAACACTGCAGGGTGACCATAAAAAGCCCTTTCATCACCAGCCATTCTTCAGTTATAATATTTTCTTAAAGCTGGTTATTATTTACCCTCACAGCAAAGGAAACCACTCATTCATAAACCTTTCATAAGTCATCCAGACTTCAATTTATATCACCCAAACCTGCATTTGACACAGAACATCACATACTAATTAAATTACTCATTATAAACATGAAACCCTCTATATGCACTGAACACTGATAAAGGTTGTAAGACAGAAATACAGGGTAAAGGGGGAGGAAAACGTTAAATCACAAATCCCAAGTCAGGAAAAACCTTTAGTGGGACATAGGTGGGATACAGTTCAGCCTAGATGTTTAATTAATTTTTGTCTGTTTCTGATGTATTTTGAACTGCCTGGTGCTGGAGGAAAGATCTGAGGGATGGAACAAGCAATGGATTGGCCCAAACATATCTGATGTGCCCATCAGGGAACCTAGAAGGTGAAATAATGTGGCGAAGTGCAGTAAATGCTGAGATATTGAACAATGGCTACTACAGAAAAGGTACTAATAGACAGATCTGCAAGGAAACAGGATCTTTGTTCCATGAGATTAGTGTACTTTCTTTTATTTATATTGGATATTATTTATATTATCTCCATGAAACCTGTGTACCTCACTGTCTATTTGTAATCACCATAGTCTCCTAATTAACCAGTAGTTTCTTTGTTGTTTTACCCCTTCCAAGGTGCTAGAGGTGAGCCTGCTGCTGCTACTGTAGAAGTAAAACCACAGAATATTGCTTATCCTGGGCTGGGGTGGGAGTAAAAAGTTGAGGAAGAACTTCAGTTAAAGTCTTTGGTGTCAAAGCACAGATTCTCTGCAGCTCTGGGTATTTGAGCCTACAGACATGGATGGCCTCAAGATTCTTCACTGACACTTGCACTGCCAATGATACAAGAATAATGACAATATATATAATAAAATTGAAAAGGTAAATCCTTTTTCTATGCTTTGTGACAGTATTTCACCTGCTAAATGGAGTAGAAGCCTCTCTGGTCAAAAAATTGAATACTCATATCCATCAGAAGAGAAGCTTGACTCTTCTGGTGCATACAAGTATTCAATTTAGCAAAACATACCACCCCTGAACAGCTGGAAGGGACAGCTAAAAGAGGAAGGGAATGTCAGAGGGAGAAGTAAAAGCAAAACTTCTGAATGGAAGTTCTAAGCAAATAGAGAAAAAATTCGAGGCAAGTGTGTGGTTTCTGTAGCTCTGCATTTCCTCATGTGAGGACAGGTTCCTGCGTCACCCCCTGCTCCAAGCAGGAGCAGCAGCAGCAGCCCTGGGCGTGCAGGAAGCTCCAGGGCAGCCCCATCCATGTCCCACTGACACCTCCACCCATGCTGCTCTCTGCACCCTGCCTGCACGAACTGCTCAGGCTCAGAACACAGTGCACCTTTCAGAACAAAGCTGCTCCTCCTCCCACACCCCCAGGCAGCCTTGCCAGAGCTGGGAACGTTTCCTCAGCAATACCTGAAGCCAGGCTTTCACCTGCAGGGTTACAAACCCAAAGGTCAGAAGGAGGTCAGGACAAAGCTCTACAACCGCCTGAGCCTTGCAGCTGTTTTCCCTCAGCACTTCCTTAAGCAAAACCTCCTGCAGGAACACCCAAGGTTCAAAGGTGAGCAGAGCTTCAGGTGGATCCCCAAATAGCAGCAGTGCTGTCCCCTGGTAGATATCCATTCCATGTCAAGGGCAGATACACAGTGAGGATCCTTGAAGGACCAGGCTTTCTGGGGTTACTGAGGTCACTGCCCTGTCAGGTCCATGGGGAGGGCAGAAGAACAGCAGACACATTTATCGATGCAATCTCCTGAGGGAAGCACCTACTAGGTGAGCAGGCTAATAAAACCTCTCCAAAGCAGGATTTGCATTGGATTTTTCAATGCTGGTGAGGGCTATTTCTATACAGGATAGTTAATAGTTAAGCATAAACTTTAAAATGCATCACCTTCTATTTTTAATACCAGCTTTCTAAGGAGACCATTTGAAAAACAGCATTTCTGCAAATTCTGGCCAGCTGAATCCTGAATTACTAATTTTTGTCTTTTCTGCAGATGATCAAGGCTTTGTATTTGTGGGAAAAAAAAAAAAAAAGAAAACCAAGAAATTATTTACCTAAGACACACATGCAATTACCACAAAAAAGAATTGAAGTTGAAGTACTCAGGCAATTCCCCCACATCAGATCCCAGGCATGGCAAGAAATCAGGACTGATTTTGAGGATAAAATAGAGCTGCATAAGCAACATGTATGAATAAGCAGGTGCAGCTTTCCCACATTTTCTTAAGCAAAAGGATGAAAAAACCTATCCCCAGCTTGTGAGGGGCTGCTACTCACATTAGAGAGAATGTACAGGCATTTCCCCCATCTCCCTTTAAATACAATAGTAAAAAATACTTAATTTTTAGCATCATGAACTGACTTTGAGTGCCCAAAATGAATGAGAAAAAGAGCTCATTTTTAAAGCTGAAAAGTAAACTGAAATAAAAAACCTAGCATTGAAATGACCAGAATTCTGGTTTTAATTAAAAAACCACACAATTAGCTACTTTTGAAGCAATCTAGCTGAGAACAGTCTTCCTGCTAATAGCTTGCATGTTGTGAACACCATGTTCTGGAGGAATATAAAAGCAGTTGAGAGGACCATTATGTGCTATTTAACAATGGTCGCTTACTGACTTAACACACCCTGTAGCAAAAGTTAAATTCTAAGCAGGGCTGTGATACTGGAAACAGGAAAACATATATTCTAGGGCAGGTACAGCAAAATAAATGAGCAAATGAAAAAAATCTGAATTAATTTAACAAACATAACACATTAATATTTTTAAAACAAAACTTTTGGCTCTTCCCAGCAAATACTCCTTTCATTTGGAAGTTGCCATGAGGATTAGTGTCATGAGATGTGGGTCAAACTGGCTTTTGAGGTGCTGAGGTCAAGTGATAATGGTTCAATGTCTTACAAAATTGATCAGCAGAAAAGCTGTTATTCATGTAGATATTTGACTTCACTTTGTTTCAAATTGATATAATGCAGTGAAACAAATGGATAAGAGCTTATGTCCTTTCCCCTTTGTCCTTCTTCTGTTCCAGACATAATTTAAGGTTCTGCTGAAAGTGTAGGACAATGAAGAAGGACTGAAGTATAATGCTCATGAAACATAATTCCTAAGTAAAAAATAGAGACATTTTTAGACATGAACTGCAATTTCAACCACGACCTTCACACACACACACTATCTCTTCATAAAAATGTAGCAGATCCTTATATTGTATCTCTGAAGTGGGTTGCTTCCAATTAAGACAAGCACATCTAACCCTCTGATAAACCACATTTCATTTTCTTATCTTTGAGGGGAACTTTAACTATTTCCCCTAACACAGGGACACTGTCATTACATGAAACATCCAACGTATTTGAAGAACTTTAAAACACCTTGGCTCAGGGAGACTATGCATAACTTTCTGTGCATACCTGTTATTGAAATCCTTGTGCTGAGCAATAGAAAAAGTCAAGGGATGCTATCACACTGTAAGGAAATAATAAGGACAAGCAAAAGACAATCTTGCTGAGTAAATGAATCTTGAGAATGAAAATCCCTGGTGTAAAACTAAGGAAGAAATAAAGTAGAAGTAAAAGAGAACCTCCAGAAACCAGTGTAATGACTCAGAATTACTACTTCACAGGCACAAATAAATTAGTTTCTGAAAGGAGGAAAATAAACACATATACAAGTCTTGGCATAGTACTAATAGGCAATCTGAACTAAGGCTTCCATGGTTTTAGCATCCTTATCCCATATGATACTGAGCTCCTTCTGGATCACAGATCCAAGCAGATTATGTATATAAACTCCAGTTAGGAGTCAAATCAGTTTTCCATATAGCAGTTCCCTAATCACAATGGGAGATTCCTCTGCATTCCCCAGTTGTTGGAAACTTTTGTATTAGGAGGAAAGTCTGAAGATGAGCTGTTCTTGAAAATTAAAAATATAAAATACATAGCAATTTAAATATTTCTTGAATATGTACTGAATATACAATGTGACTTTGGCATCAACAAAAGACTCTGCACAGTTTTCTAGGAAGAGAAATTATTAGGACAGAAAACTTCTGGAGAAATCTGCCATGGTTTTTACAGTGTATCACTAATTTACCATGGAGTCTTTAAGTGCCTCATAACAATCTAATAGCACAACTTGAAATATGAAATAAAAATGCATTAACATGTAGTGAGAATAGCATGTTGGGAAATTATTTGGTAATTATTGATGTTTAGTAATTCTTTGTATTTACACAACACATTACAAAAAGTAAACAGAAACTTTTTCTAGATGACATGGAATTTAGGGTCCTGCTACACCACTGGATTGCTGAAGTCTATCCCTGCAAACTAATGAAGAGTATTTCTTTAACACAAGAAGCCTATCCTACTGCACCAGAAGTTTTTGGCCTTTTAGATTATACTTTTCTGCTGGTTTGTTGTTCCCTGTGCCTGCTTCAGCTCATTGCACCCATTTCCACATATATACATTCTAATTTCTGATTTACTGTGACCCTGTTCACATTTCAGCACCTCAAATAAGTAATGATGAGGCCTGGAAGAGAAGCCACATCCAATTTCTTTTTATCAATTTTGTAAAAAATTTATTTGTATACTAGATTTTCAATCTCATCCATATATTTTAATGTATGACTCAAGCCACTCTTTGATTACATTTATCTACAGATGGTTGAAGGGCAAAAATCTACTCATTCAAATTAGTTAATTGGTGACATTTGGAAAACTAACTACTGGTTGATTTTTTAGTAACCCTAAACTTAACAGATTTGTTTCCCAAATGTTTGGAATAATTTTGTAGAAGCACACCAAGGATCAAAATAAGTGGCTGCTGTTTCCTCAAGCAATCAGGTTAGTATTCAAATACACAGGCAGGATTATGCATTCATAAAATCAAAAATCTTAAAGATTTTTTTCCTGGTTAAGGTTTATAAAATGAGCTAAGAAGATATTGCCTCTATGTGAGGAAAGTGGTGACTCATAAACTGAATTTTGAGAATAAGGTTGACTGAAATAGGAAAAAAGTTAAAGCTTGGGAAAGAGGAGATGTTCTAGTTTGATCTTGTGAAAAAGCTTTAAAAATCAAAGTCTGAGTAACACTGCTTTCATCTTTAGGTACAAACTCTAAGCTTTTCCTCTTTTTATTTCTCTTTTCTTTAAAAGAAGAAAAAAAACCCCCCAAAAAACCTTCAAGCTGGAAATAAAATTTATCCTCATTAAAACTAAACTGGATAATTTTCTAATCACACAACTGGATATTTTTATGACACCTAATGATAAATTCCCCAAGGCTACAGCAAACTTCATATGGATGCATACTAAATTACTCAAAAAGCTTTAATATGTGTGTGGGAAATTATAAAATGCAGTTTGCCTTTTAATTTATTGAGGGTCTTTTTAAGCATTTTCACCAGATAATGGTCAGGTAGCATTAGCAGAACAAGTAGGGATTGTCATGAGTTGCATTAATTCAAATGTGATAGCTAAGCAGAACTCGGGGTTTTGTGCAGGAGGCAGAAACTGCAGTTTTGAAGAAATGTGTCCAGATAATTTTAAAAAACCCGAAAAAAACAGAACAAAAAAATACACCCCCCCCCCCCAAAAAAACCCAAAAACAAACAAAAAAAACCCCAAACCCAAAAATTTACCTAAATGAAAGTATTCTGAGTAAATGTCCCTGGATTCGTGATCTTGTTCTCTGTCCCTGCCCAGCTGCCATGGAGGCAGGTGGCAGAACCAGCTGGGCTGGAGCAGAGGGTCTAATGCTACCAAAACAGTCACTCCTCACCTTCTGGAAGAAAAACCTATTAAACCACACAGAAGCATCCATTTGCTGGATGAGCTGGGGCTGCCCCATGGACTAGTCAGGTTTACAAAAGCTCAAGGGATTTGTCAGCAGCAGTGATGTCACAGCATGTCAGTCAGCAGGGATGCTGAGTACCTGGATGAAGGGGAAGAGCAGTCCCACTGCGAAGTTGCAGAGCCAGTTGACTGTCCCAGCTATCATGAATGCAGCTGGCCTCTGTGACTGCTGGAAAAGCTCTCCAGTGAGGACAAAGGGAATCCCACCTGAAACAGGGTCCAACGAGAGTGGTTTTAGTAAAGTCCCATCAGCAGAGATGAACAAGCCCCGTGACGCCCATCTCCATGAGTAGCACTGCTCTGCAGGGCCTTCTGAAACAGATCTGTGCAAATCATATTTCAGAGAAGTGCCACTTCTTTCTTTCATGCCATCACATCTCCTGGTTGACATTCTTTTCAGGGATGACAAGCAGGTAACAGAGCAGAGAATCCACACAACAGCTTCCAGAGCATCATGTGATAAACTGTTTATTCAAAATAAGAATGATTGTTTCTACTACAATGCTTGAAATTCTGAAAATTCAGAGATACTCCAAAATACTTTTAGATCTTAACAGTTGGAAAGATGGCTCCAAAGAGACTAACTCCTATTTTTTTATAATTATTACCCACTTTTTTTTCAGCAATAAAAAAGACCAAACTTTTGCTTCCCTATGAGTACACTTGTCATTGATGCTTATTTAATACATTCCCTTACCAGACACTGCTGGCACTTCTGGCGAGGTCTATTTCTCCCATCAGCCAAGGACTCTGACCTCCATAATAACAATTGCAGTTGAATACCACATTTGTGACATTTGTTTCCTTCCACTTAGGCAGTGGACTATTTTGTACAGCACTGGCATATAGCAGTAACCCCCAGGGAGTATCTGTCTAGTAGCTGAAAGTCTCAATTTATGATCTTTGGCTTCCTTCATTCCCATCCGATATTTCCATAGAAGTATTTCTATTTTTAGAGAATAAAACCTGGATTTTACTTGTTGATCAGCTACATAATTCAGTTAATGTTACACATTAGACATATATCTACTTGCAGAATTATTTCAGTTTTGAAATAATTATTATTAAGAATTATTTCAGTTTTGAAATAATTATTATTACAGTTTGAAGAACTGTACAACTAGTAACATTCTGCTCTTACCAGTTTCTGCCTCTAGGTCCTCAGGTGTGCTGGTATTACCTGTCTCACCATTCAGCTTTGTAGGCAAGACCCATATACACTGTGTAAGACTATGTAAGTTCTTCCTCAGTTTTAAGTATATTAATAAGATAATATAAACAAACAAAACCATATTTATGGATATATTTCCTTTCAAAAACCTCTATAGCAATACTGACCTCAAAAAGATTTATAAATTATTAAGAAAACAGCACTACAGACTTATCCATCCCCTGGCTTTTCTCCTTGTACATCTTCCCTTGGTCTATGTGCTAATCTTTTGCACTACCTTTACCCTTGGACATTTGGGAATTCATCTCTAAGTGCACTATGGGGCTGCATCCTTGTGTAGCCCTGTGTGCTGGGGGAGCCTGAGCTTAAACACATGCACCAAAAGCTCCTGTGAGCAGTGTGAGATAGGGACTTGCAAACTCAGAACACGACATGCAGATGACACGCGTTGTCAGACATCCTTCCAGATGCAGAAGCCATAAATATGTGCATAAATAAAGGCAATGTGATGCAGCAAAGAGCTGCTCTCCATCGTGAGCTTGTGTGGCTTTTTGTGAGAATATATCTGAAGTGGTAGCAAAGCCTTCAACTGAACTTTCTGTGCCAAAGAGTGTCAGTATAAATTACACCAAAAAAATAGAGAACAAATAAATTTATTTACTCCTCTTTTTATACATAGGAAACTGAGATATGGAGAGTTTAAGCCATCCAAACTGCTGCTTTGTATCTTTCTACAAGATATATGTAGTACCAGAATTCTGTGACTAAAAAAAGTAATCCCTTCCAGCAGAAGTTTAAACATGTAGAATAAGTATGTGAACCCCCAAAACTTAACAAAATTCCAGCAACATGGGGTCTATCAATGCTTGATGGCTTCCAGTGGCCATTCCATCACACCCTTGGGATTTGGGTTCAAATCACATCTGTTTTGTCAGCAATCACATCTGTTCTGTCAGCATCTGGTTTGGGTCTTAAATACCATATGAGGCAGCAGCTTGCCAGGACACTTGCCCCTTGGAGAGAGGAACTGAAAGACTGGAAACACAGAAATTGTGAGATGACTTATTTATAATCATTTATTCTGTCATGCCTTTGCTGTAGGACAATCTACAGAGGTGTTGCTGTTCTTGTCAGTATAATAAAATATGCCGTTGGAAGCAGCATTTGGAAAAGCAGCATTTGGAAAAATACATATTATACAAGAGAGAAAAAAGCCAGAGGCAAAAAAAAAAAAAAAGTACGAAAGGACAGAAACCTATCAGAAAGCATAAGTGTAATGGAAATAAAAATGCATGGGCTCTATCTCAGAAACAGGTTCCTTGAAATTCCAATTTAATTTCTAAGAACATGTCAACTATCTCTAACTTTCAAAAATTCTGTGGAGGAATGGGAAGGGTGGCATGGACCGACCCCTCAGCTTTCTCATGGTCTAGAGAAGTGTAGCCACAGCATCACAAAACAGAAAGTCAGCTTCTGTTGGGGGATGTCTATAAAGAATTGTTAGGAGGAACCAAGGAGCCTGAAAAGTGGTACATGAGTTATGTGAAAGTCAGGTTAGGTCTGGGAACACAAGAAATGGAATAAAGCCAGGTCACTGCTGTCTATTGCTGTGTGCCTGGAAGAGCACAGACTCAACCTCATGAAGATGAAGAGGAGGGCTTGTGAATGCCTCCCAAGGGCCACACCACTGTGAAAAACACACTCTGCAGCTGAGTGAAGGGAAAAAGAAGTTTGGGAGAGCTGAAGGAGAACTGTAAAGCCTTAAAGTCACAGTCAGTGATGGCACCTGAGATGGGCTGAACTTACAGCCCCAGCATTCCATCCCCAGTCATTTCAAGATGCCAGGGATGTGCTCAAGGAGTGCCTTTCTCCTGGACCTCACTGTTCTTTGAGATACAAGTCTGAGTGCCTGGGGCTGAAGGAAGCTGTATTATGCTTTGACTGCCTAAGTTGGATCTGAGCAGAGATCACAATACTGCGACATCTCACTTAAGAGTCAGTCTCTGCAAGGTACCCTACATAATCTCTAGGCCAGATGGGTCTGTACTAGCCTGTGCTCAAACATGGAAGCTTGGAAACCACTGTCAAAAGCAATCCAACCAAACCACTGTATTTTTGGAAAAGTCTTTAAGCACTTTGTCATGAGTTTTGCAGCTTTAACACGTATTTGTAGGTGGGCGAAACAATTCACAAAAATGCTACCTGATCTTTCTCATGGAGGATGAACCTGGCATTGTCTTTTCCCCTGGAAAGCTTTCCGTATAATTTTCAGTGAAGCAGCTTTATTTTAGCTCTGATCATAAAACAAAAAAGTGTATATTAGGATTTCCCGTAGGAGTTTCTCAGCAAAGGAGCTTCCAAACATGAATTTAAATAGGTAATGCATTGACCACATAATTACAGTGATTAATTTCTAATACTTTGTTCTTTTAGCATTGCAGTGAACATAATAAAAAAATTCTTAACATACTGCAGTGCTAGTAAAGAAAGAATGTTATACCTGTAGGATTCTACATCTATTGGAAACTACAAATGTCTTACTGCAGGACTTGTATAACAATAAGGTGTTTTATAAAACAAGATTAAACCCACATGGAACAATCAGACATGCATAAATACGTAAATACTCCTGTTTCTGGGTTCTTTATTAATTTATCTCTGTAATTAGTCCAGTTACACACAGAATCAATGTCATGTGCTATTGAAATTCCAGACTCTCAATCCAGTACTCTTTTATGCATGAAATTTGAATGTTAGAACAGAAAAAATATTCTTGTATCCATGCTCTAGATTTTCAAATATATATTTAAATTTATACAAATGTTTTCTCAGGAAAAATTAGGTGGTCTTATTTACTGTTTTTTCAGTGAGCAGTTATGAATAAATATTGCTTAGTAGAAGTTACATGAGTCAGTGCAAAAACCTGAATACAGAAAACTTGACAAAGGAAGGAAAATGCTGAACTCCTCATTCTGTTTTTATCCAGTACCTAACTGGGAATTTATGTTATGGCTGTGCATATGATTTATGAAATGAGACTGTTACAAGAATAAATGCCTAATACACATCAGGGAGATTTGTCACAGCAGTAAATCACCTCTAAAGGTGACAGAAACTTTGTGACCTCCTGCAGGTCTCAGCTTTCCAAATTCTGCTCTACAGGGGGGAGCCTGGGGATCCCAAAAGGCTGATTAGGGCAAGAGCTCCCAGACTTTCCACTTCCTTGCTTTGAGACAAGGAGTTATTGAGAAAACTGTTTTGAGAAAACAGACAATTACCTTGCAACAATGCTCTGGTTTTGGGGGGAAAAGAAGTCTGTGGAGCTCCAAATATGATCAAGCAAAATGGCTCTGTCTGCAAGGAAGGGCATGTAGGGAAGACTGACGTACCCTAATAGGGTTGGGAGACAAAGGACTGTCCCAACCAAAGGTTTTGCTATTTGCAAGTCAAGGCACCTCTAGAGAGCAGCTCTGGGAGAGAAGCAGTGGAAGTGAGACAAAACTCCTGGAAGATGACTGCTGGAAAAACAGCCCAGTGCACTTCAATGGGAGAGCAAAAGCCTGTTAGTTTCTAACCAGACTTTAGTTATTTACAAACAACAAACAAATAGACCAACAAACCCCAACCTAACCACCAATGAACAAAACCCCCAAAAATGTGCAACAAAACTCATGGGAAAATATATTTCAGGAGTACTGCAAGGGAGGGATGCAATGCAGCTACTGAGTTTCTTCCATTTCTGTAGGTCTACAGATAGAATAAAAAATTTGCAAAATAGATATCTCAATCTTTATAAAGGTGTTCTGTCACCTGTTAGATGATTTTAACTTGCACTTTGTATTTGATTGAATAATACCTCACCAAGTATGACATTACAGTCAGATATGACAGCTGTACTCCCAGCTAATCCTGCTGAGAGAACTGGGAACAGAAGGTGTGACAGGGGTGTACTGAGTCACAGCTTCATGCTACAGACTTTTCTGGCTGTCTGCAGCTCTTCTCCACAGGATAATTAAGTAAAATAGGCACTTTGTTT